TCCCCGCTGCCTGCCAGGCTGTGCTGCTGTCATCGTTGGGTCATTGCCGTGGGTGTTGGTGAACCGCCCCCGCACCTCAACCACCTGGGCGGATGTTTTGGAGAGTTCTCGTGACTTTATCTGGGTTCTGGTTCCTCTTATCCTTGGAAAGGACTGAAACTAAGGAGCTTGTCAATACGAAATAAGAGGAACTGGTTAAGATGAGAACGTAGGAGCCCTGGCCTGAGTGGCTCGGTGTTGCTAAGTGGTTAGCGCGTCAGCTCATGCACCGAGGGTCCCAGGTTCGATTCCCAGTCAGGGCACGCCATACCTGGGCTGCAGGTTCGATCCCAGTCCTGAAATCAGGGCTCATTCTAAAAACCAATGGAAAAATATCCTCGGGTGAAGATTAAAAAACAGATGAAAACATAGGACTAACATGAGGGTGAAGGTGGCCCTTGTCCTCCAGAAAGAAGCCTCCACATGGCCTGGTCCCTTCCTCGCCTCCCCTCTATTCCCTGTGGCCCTCAGAGTGGGGAGGGCAGGGAGTCCTGTCACCTGCCCACTCCCTGCTGGAATGAACAGGACACGCGCACGCACACGTCTCCGCTGCACCCAGGGGCACCCCTGACCTCTGGTGTCCCAGTCCACTGCCCACGGCCGCCAGGCTTCCAATCAATGATCTCATCTCCTCATAAAAAAAAAAGAGCAAGAGTGAACCTCAGCCAGTTCCTCCAGGACGGCCTCGCAAATCAGCCTCCCCTGGCAGAAGCGGCCCTTAGGCGCTTTAGATTTGGTTGCTGTTTAGGAAAAACACTCGTAAGAAAGAACATTGTCAACACCGGAGCATAAAACAAACAACAGTTTGAGAAGCATGAGAAATCTCTGGTTTTAGGACGACTATTTGTTGAAACGTCCAGAGGAAAGTAACAGAGACTTTAAAAGATTTCCTGAAAGATGTCTCAGTATCAACTTCGACAAGTTCAATGACTGCGAATTAACCTCCCCGTTTATTTCTGAGCACTTTCATGGCCACCTGCTGCCCGGGACTGTGAGTGCTCACCTGCCGTCACTTGGCTGTGCTGGGTACGAGGAGACGTCACCCTCCCAGGAGCGTGCAGCCCGCCTGTGTGAAACATTTGGGTAACAACATCAGGCAGCAAGCGTCTGCGGTGGTCCCTCCTGTCCCTCTGGATCCGGCCCAGGCCCCACCCCGTCACGAGGACGTCCTGGGCTTCCCCAGGTGGCCCGTCTCCGGCCCCAGCTCCAGCTTCACCACCCCCTCGGCCACTAGCTGGATGGCTATCTTTGGGGGGGGGGCAAAGATTCACTTTATTTTTTTTTGCATTCTCAGCAACTAGCACATGGAAAAGACTCAATAAATAGTCAAGTTGTAAAACAGAGGGCTGGGACTTCATGAGGCACCACACCCAGGTGACTGTTGGCTTCCTGGTATCTGGGAGGGCAGAGTGAACCAGACGTGATCACCATCAAGAGCTGTGCTCAGTTATGCTCAGAGGTTATCTGTGTACACATCAAGACCAATCCTTACCAGCCTGGCCTGTGTTCTGCACTAATTTCTGACAAACAAACAAGAGCACCCCGATGACTAATTCCAGGGCCCCAGACCATCCAGCGGAACAATGCAGGAGGGAACTCGGGGGGATCCCTGTGAAATCTGTATCATTCTCTTCAAAACTTCCCAGTGGATAGGATTGTGATAAAGCCAGGTCTCGAATGCTTACCTTAAATTACCTCTTCTTTCCTTAATTCAACATGTGTTTTTAAAAATCAACTTTTGTCTCAGTCTAAAGAGCCACTTTTAGGTTCACGAATCAAAGTGAGTCCTGGGCACCGAGGTGTTAGTAGCTGTTCTTTACGTCCATCGGGAATGGGTGTCTGAATCCTGAATTAGAAACCGCCGATGTCCGGGTGGCAAGTGCTTCAAGACCCCCTGGTTTTAAAGTTCCCAGAGCCAGTGGTTTACTGAAGTAACTGTATTGGATACAATGTTACAGTTTGTTGAAATGAATCGACAATGGCAGCTTTAGGCTGCAGTTTTGCTGCTGTGGCCTGGAGAATGCACGTTCTGGTTTGCACTGGGGGGGTGGAGAGCCTGTGTCCTTCGGGCTGCAGACCTGGTGACCCAACACCGTACGTCCTTGTACCTCACCCACCGCTGGAAAGTGACCTGGTGAACACGTGGAGCACAGCCTCGTTGCAGGCACTAGTTCAGGGCAAGGAGGGATGAATCAGAATATAAACTTGTTCAAAACGTGCTCCTGCAAATTGTCCGGGGTCCCGAGGAAAGGCCTGGGAGTTAATCCGAGGGGTTTTCTTTGTGACTCTGGGTCCATCTGAGCAACCAAGAGCCAGGCTCTGAACCTCTGTATCATTTTCTCAAGGAGCGTCTGGGAAGGACCACGCTGGGGACGAAGTGTCCGCACTTAGGAAAGCTGCTGTCCGAACACCTGGTGCGGATCGCTCTTCCCGGGACGGCAGCTACATTATCTACGACGCCCCAAAGTCAGCGAACGCAGAACCCCCCCAGACTCCCACCGGTAACGGGAGATCAGCCACCGGAGGACTCGGGGAGAAGGGCTCTTCACCTTCCCCTGCGGCCTAGGCCAGCCGTCTGCAGCCCCTGCGCCGCAAGGATGTTTAAAACACGCAACACCTGACTGTTTAGTCGGGGGCACCGACCCTTCTCCCTTGGACTGTCCAATAAAACAGTGACAGCTGCCAGCACAACAGCCGTCCAGTGTGAATGAATCAACAGTACACCTCTTTTTTGCCAGATCGGCAGAAAATATATTTTTTGGTGTGCTGCAGAATTTCAGTGATTTGTTTACGTGCCATGAGATGAAAAAGGGTGAAAATCGCTGGTGTAGACCATTGGCTTGCAGCTCAGACTGAAAATGCTTTTGGCTTTAAATGGAAATCCACGCTTTTCGCCCTGTGAAGGCTGTTCCCCCGCCCGGCGTCAGCGCCGAGGGCGCCCCCGGTGTCCTGGACAGTAACGTCCGTGCAGCCTCAGTCACCAAGAACTTCCTCTCCTTTCCTCAGGAAACATCACACCAACTGCCACACTCCTCGCTCTCAGGCCTCTTTTCCAAACCCGTCGTCATCTCCGCGCCTCTTGAGTGATTTCTAGGTCTTGCCTCCCTCTGCAGGTTGTGAAAACTAAAGAGAGGCCGTCCTGGCCACATGGGGCCGAACACACCTTTATGTTTGTGACTTGCCGTTCGACTTTGAAACGTATCTTCCTAAATTCCACCGTTTCTTTCTCCTGCTCTCAGTGGGGTGTGGAGAGTTGGGGATAAAAGGTCAGATTTATCCTGGCCCGTAGCTCTGGTGGCCAGAACGTCGGCCCTGTATGCCAAGGCTGTGGGTTTGAATCCCGGTCAGGGCGCATACAGTGAATGCATAAATAACTGGGACAAATCAATGTATGTCTGTCTCCCTCTCTCTCTCTTATCAGTAAATTAAAAAAAAAAAAAAATCAAAAGTCCTAACCACTTAAAAAAAAGATCGGATTCATTTATTTTCTTTTACCCTCTACCTCCTGTGAAAACCATCTAATCTTTGAAATATCAAGGTGTGTTTTTTTAATGGACTCTGAATCAGAACAAGCTATAATAATACGTTTCTCCAAAATACACACAAGCATTTCAGAAAATTTGCAGGAGGTTTTTACAGAGAGGAAATAGCTAACTCTTCCATTGTCGTGACTCAGTTTACCTTGACGCAGCAGGCTCGGGCCAGCGTGTGTGCGAGCCGGAGGGATCTCACAACAGACTCTGCGGGGCTCAGTTCCGCCTGCAGACCTCCAACCACAGCACTGTTCACTGCCGTACGTCACAGACTTTCCAATGTCCTGCTGTCACTGAGGGTCAAGGGAGCTACGTCTCGTGGCTAAGCCGAGTGACGCGGGGAGAGGAGAGGCACCGCTCGCTCGCTCGCCAATTCCCTGAGCTGTTTGCCGCCCGTCCGGCCCCCGGCTGAATGCTGGAAGGGCACTAAAGAAACAGCAAAAAGAGAAGGCGTGCTTGTATCTTACACCGGTTACTAAGGGCTTCTGGTACAATGTGAGAACCCCCAGGCCCCTTGTGAATTTTTAGATGATTGACACATGTAAAGAAATGAGGACTGTGCCACCACCTAAGCCACCATTCGATAAATGGCAGCGGGTACGATTACCGTTGCATCTCTTCCTCACCGAGATACGTACAAGTTTCCTTTAAAACTGTAGGTGAAGATATTGTTTACTTGGTTATCAAAGGCCTTTTTTATAAACAGTATAAAGTACATAATACATTTAATATGTAAAATGTATTTCAATTAAAAACATCAATAAAAATTTTTAAAAAGAAAATAATAGTACATTAACATACAACATTCTTTTTATTATTATTATTTTTATTATTAGTTATATATAATGATATATTTTTAAATGTTAGTATATATTATATATTTACATGTTGATATTATATTATAATTTCATGTTTTATAATTGTAATTTTTTATATTAATATAAAAATATAAATAAGTTCCACTTAGAATAGTGAGAGTAAAAAAAGTTCAGTGTTGTCCAAGAGAGAGATGATGTGAGCCATATATGAAATTTTTAATTTCCTAGGAGCTGCACTAAAGAAGGGAAAGAGGTGGAATTGACTTTAATGATATTATAGGTGGGTAGTGGTGGAAATGGTTGAATTTGTTTTTTAGTTTAAATAAATTGACCAAAAACAAAAACAAAACACTCAGAACAGATGTGTAGTGAGAGGCATAACTAATGAGTTTATTAAAATAAATGATCGCGATAGAGCCCAGTTCTCGGTCCTCTCGGGCTCTGAGTCCTGGCGAATGCAGGTTTCCATGTACTAGGCACTTTTGTCAGGAGTAAACCTTTGTAAATGAAAATAATTTTTTGTTTAGTCCAAATAACTGAAATAGCATAATTTCAACAGGTAATCAACACAAAACTTTATCAGTCAGATATTTTACTTTTTCTTACTAAGTCTTCAAGATCCAGTGTGTCCTCCTCTCACCACGCGTCTCACCCAGAAGGAGCCACGTTGCAGACTCCGAGCAGCCACGTGTGGCGGCTGGTTACCACGCTGGACAGCACAGCTCTCCTCGACTAATTAGAACTGATCGTAATAATTATGTAAACTGTTGTGTTTCCTTTTACTGCCCTGGTTGCCAGGAAACCCAAAGCTAAATTCGGTGCTCGATAATAGAAGTTTTTTCATCTCATCCTGTGTTCCTCTAAAATTGACTTCTCTTTCTTCTAAATAAATTTGAATATCTTTGTTTTTTTATGTCTTTGCAGAGAAGTGATTTAATATTAATCACAACCATAATGGTAATTGCCTTTTGTTTCATAATAGTAATAATAATAATCATGATAATTTGTCAATCGCTCACTGAGCACTGGGCAGAGTGCCACACAATTCACGAGGGTCCCACAGCAAGACGATGGCAGAACTGAGACGAGAGCCAAGGTCTGATTCTGAAGCCCTCGCTCTCAACCATCGGCTCCTAGAATACTGGTAATGAGGACCACCAGGACGACCGGGCCTCACGGGCTCGCCATGCTCTGATCCTCAGAGGAAGCCTGTGGGGCAGTCACATGGTTCCCACTGTACAGGTTAGGACTGGGGCGTAGAGGCCGGTTCCCTAGTCAAGGCACAGGTACGAACGTCAGGGCCGGCAGGCGAACTCGGGCACCTTCCGCGTGCCCTCTACTTCAGTTACGTAAAACCAACTTGAAAGGATCCCATCTCTTTTGGAGATGACACAGAGCTATTAAGTCAATAGCTATATTTTCAGGTCATCTTATGAGCCGGTCCCAGTCCCCATTTCCTCCCCACCCCCTGCCAATGCTGGGGATTCACAAATGGAAAAGACAAAAATCTCTCTCCTTCGTAATGGAAGAAATGCAAAGTCAAGAAAAATGTCAAGTGGTCCTTGAAAATTCTCCGCTGGGTTTGGCACAGCAGGTGCAAAATGACACATCCGGCTAAGACTAACAGGGTCAAACAGAGGAGGGAGCTCGAGGCGCTTAGAACTCTGAGCAGACCCAGGAATGTGTCAACACTGCCTGCCGCCTGCCCGGTTCTCCTAAAATGCCCTGCGTGCCCTTTCCAGCCCTTACGCACGTTCCTACGAGCTGTGCAGAAGGAGCCACGCCACGAGAGGACCCGGGCCAGTGACCCTGTCTCAGCATAAACTGACACTCGGTGCCACCAGCTAAACTGCTCCGGTGGCTTCCAGAGTTCACGGGATGCGAAGGCACAGCTGCTGTGTTTAATGTTAGGCCCCCGGGGCTTGTCATTGCGATTCATCGAGTCTGACACACACGGGCTGTTGGCAAACACGTGGGAAAGGGTTAGGGCTGGGGTTAGGGTGATAAGAAGTCAACTTACACTTTGCACAGTCTTGTGTATGCTCTCTGTCAATGACAGTTTTATGTAAGGAATACTGTGTGGCCCTGGCAGTGAGGCTCGGTTGGTTAAGGTCGTCCTGTGCACCAAAAGGTCGCCAGTTTGATTCCTGGTCAGGGCACATGCCCAGGTTTCAGATTCAGTTCCCAGTTGGGTGGCATTTGGGAGGCAACCAATTGATGCTGTCTTTCACATCTTTCTCTCTTTCTCGCTCCCTCTCCCTTCCTCTCTCTCTAAAATCAATCAATCAATCAATCAATCAAGAATACTGTGTGGCTCCAGTGTTGCTAGGAGGGATGGAGAACCAGTTCGTGGCTCCAGAGCTGGGAACAGAGCCGTGCAGAACTGCCTGCCCAGGAACCCGCTGCCCCACTCCCCGGCCTGCAGACCCTTCCACCAGCCCACGCTGCCTCGGCACCCAGCACAGCACTGCCCTGAAGCCTCCCGCACCCTGCCTCCGGGCTCTAAGGTCAGCCGGGGAATGGGAGGGTGTGTCTGGAGAATGGAGCCCAGGACCCAGGCTGCTGTCTGGAATTTTCAGCGTCTGCAGTAAGCAGCACAGAGAGTCCTAAGGCAGGAAAGGAGTCGGATACTAGGCGGGTAACAGGAAGACAGAGGGCTTCTCCCCCATCCGCACGGACCCTGTCCTGGGGTACACGCTGACTCAGAGACGCTGAGGAGCTTCAGACCTGGTGCCAGGCACGGGGAATGACGTGGCGGGGAGTTAGGTTCTTTTTAAAAGCTGTGTAGGTTTGCAGTGTGTCTACCACCCCAACCTCCACTCTATTGATTTGAAATCTGGGCCTATCGCTGCGCTACAAACAAACAACTCTATGTAGGAGCCACTTCATTACAAAATTCTGTTATTATTTTTACATGTTTTGAATTTGTATGCAAAGGTTTCCTGAGTAAATTTCAGTTTTTGTACCTGAAACTGTGCTCTTTCTCTTGAAGTATATTCAGATTGGTTTAAATCATGTCATAAGCATACTGCTTCTGAGTTTTCTATGTGATGTTCTGAGTGATGAGAGCAAGCACTTTAAACCTGGGGAGTCCGTCCTCAGAGCTGGGCCGACCGAGGGACAGAGTCCTACGGCCTGAGGATGGACAGAGGGGTCAGAAGTGGGGAACAGAGAAGCAAAGCTACAGTGATTAGGATTCTAACCTATAAATCCGAAATTTCAGTCAAGAGAAATGAGCTAAAAACCAAGCCCTGGTAAAGATCAAGCAATTGGGCCAAGCCCCAAATAGTAGACATGCATCCAAACGTCCTGCTTTCTAGGCCTCCTATCAGCCCCCCGGGGGGGAGGGGGGTCTCAAACTTGACTGGGATACCAGGTGAAACCGACACCGTATACGTGGGTTAAAAACTTGACTTTCACTCTCCCCATTGCAGTCAACCCTACTGAGAGCAGTAGCATCCCCCGCACACAACACAACAGGCGTGAATTCTCCAAGTCCAGTTGGCATCCAGAAATGAGGGAATTCTTAGGAAAGATTGAAAAGAAGGTTAATACAGTCGGCTGGCCCTTTTCCAGCCCTGAAACTGTAAAACCAACACAGCTGAACTGCAAGACAAGCACCCCCTTTCTTCTCCCCGCAGCGTCTCTGAGGACTAACCTTTGATATTTCAGACTTGGGTGGAAATTAGGTAATTGCAAGGCCTACTCACATTACTTGGAACAAAAACATGTTTTAGAACAATGCTTGAAAATACCGTTAGGGTAGCACGTAGAATTGCGGGGGCTTAAACATGGGTTTGCCCTGCGTGCTGTGAGTGGCAGTGAGACAGGAGCCTGACCCCGCTGGTTTCGGGAGAGGCTTAGCGGTCCCCTCCCTGGAAAAGCGGATCCCGCATTCAGTCACGGCAGCCGATGGTGTTTGGAAACAGGCAGGTGAAAGGAGACATTTAAGCTTAAGCTTTAAAATACTTAAGTGTCCCAGTAGAAGTTCGAGTGTGGACGGACTGTCACAACGAACCACGTCGTGGGTACAGGCGAGGCTTTCATGAGCTTGTACGACCCACTGTCACAGGTGTGCCTGCCTGTCCCATGTACTCTGTAGTTACCCCCTCGTGACCAGCCGGCACACGCAATGCCCGGCCATCACGCCGCGGCACCTGGGGCTGTGGGAGCAGGTGCTCCTGCTTAGCGCGTTAAGTAGGCTCTGAACACACATAAAGCACAGGTGATGGGTGGTACAGACGGGAACTTTATATCGCCCTGCAAACCTCCTCAACTGTCACCACGGATCGTTTTCTCAGCAGAAGAACAGACCCCTCAGGCCCACTGTCACTCTCCGCCTCCTTGGGACAGTGAAGCACCCTGGGGGGAGGGTGGCAGAGAAGGCAATCTTCTTTGTTCAAAGATTATAAGACTTGCCCAGCCGGGCGTGGCTCAGCGGTTGAGTGTCGACCTAGGATCCAGGCGGTCAGGGTTTGATTCCCAGTCAGGGCACATGCCTGGGGTGTGGGCTCGATTCCCAGTCGGGGGCATGCAGGAGGCAGCCGATCAATGACTCTCTCATCATTGATGTTTCTATCTCTCTCCCTCTCCTTTCCTCTCTCTGAAATCAATAAAGATATATTTTTTAAAAAAAATTATAAGGCTGATGAAGGTAAAACTTTCCTATCTAGAAATCAGAAGTCTCTCCCTCTTCCTCACTCCAAGTCAGCAGAGGCCCGAAGACTTTCACACCCACGGTCGGGTGAGTGACACTTTTCCTGGGCCGCCTACCTGTTCACACCCCAGCGGCACACCCCAGCGGTTCACGCAGCCCCGTTGGGCAAACGCAGCCTCGGGACCAGCGCTGAAGTACAGCAACTGGATGAGCTGGCGCAGCTGGAGCAAACTGCACCGTAAACAGCTCGCGCATCTCAATGAGCCGGCTGCCGGTCAGGGCCCCGGGACGTGGCTTCTCTAGCAGGTTACCGTCAGGGTGCCGAGGCGACGGAGACGCCGGCGTGCAATCCATTTGCCAACTGGCGCGAGGAGCCATGCCGTGTGCCGGCTGGGAGGGGGGCACTGTGCAAAGGGGGGTCACAGGCACAAAGACAAGACCGTCCGACCGAGGGGGAGTGGAAGGCAAAACAGGCACTAGAAACATCTCTGCCTAAATCACAGACGTGGGGTATGAAAGAGTGACATTAGTAAGTGACCGTGCATCCAGGAAAGGGTCACCAGATGGCAGGGGGGTGAGAAACGAAGTCATGCGAAGAATTCTCAGAAGAGGAGGGTTTAGCTTTCCTGGAAACCAGAGGACATGAAGGGCGTGGGGCATGTGCGGGTGGGGGTGGTCGATGTGGGGGAGCGTAACGTGGCTGCCATGCTCAGCTATTGGACAGCAGGCGTGAAACACCGACTCTTCCTCTGCTGACTTGGAGTGAGGAAGAGGGAGGGCCTTTTGACTGCCCTGTTCTCCAACTTCTGTTTTCTAGACAGGAAAATTTGCCTTCGTCACTCTCATAATCTGTGTTCCTGAGGCCAACCCTAGAGCCAGTGGCAGGAACCTGTGGCTGTGGGAGGGCCTTCCCTACGCAGTCCATGTGCTCCTCCGCCTGCCCCCAGCCCCTGCAGTTATGTAGGATCGTGGACAACCTCAAACCCCTCTTCCAATCTTTCAGCGAAATCTTCAGTTTGTCCTGCAAGTTATATCCAGAATGGAACCCCGCTCAGCACCTCCACTGCTACAGCTGGTCTCAGCTGCCGACATCGCCCAGCTGGGTCTGTCGCAAGACCTGCTCTCCCGACTCCCCTGGTCTCCCTGCAGTCTCCTCAGCACAGCAGCAGGATGATCCTTCCTCTCCTCAAAACACTCCCAGCTCACACAGGGCCAAAATCAAAGTCCTAAGATAGCCTAAAAGGTTAGTCGGGGCC